CAAACCCCCCTCCCACAATTCACCCCAGTGTGAGAGGGGTTTTCCAGACACAACACAAGACTCAATATGGGGGGAAGGGAATTATATTACAATTATTACACAAATAAATATTATAATACATTATATACACAATTCAAACTATCTCTCCTATGGTAAAGCAGTATTTACATTGGATCAAATCTCTTTTCCCTCCAATAAAAGTCCAGAAGGGAAGAAGGAAAGATCCTTTCCACATTCAGGGCAGCAGTGTCTCTCTTCTTCAATGCAGCAGTCGTAGTTGGATTGTCGTAACTGGAAGATTTCTCTCTCCATTACAATACAAGGGGTCTTCTCTCACCCCTTTCAACCCATCGGTTCCAGTTGAAGGTCTCTCTCTCGTGGGTTGCAAAGCAGGGACAAAACTCACTTCACCACAGGCATATCACAAAGTGCAGGGGCATCTTCGTGAAAGTCCCTTCCTCAGGGGATTTAAGCTCCCCTGAGTCAGAAGGTTTAGGGCAGCTTTCAGTTCAGTCTTTGCCCTAAGTGTCCTATCAGAGCTATTTTGCTCTGTCTCAGCTGCCAACCTGACAGCAGTAGCAGGGGGGAGCAAGACCACCTCTTCTGCGTTCCATTTGGCCCTCACGGTCCAGCTACCAGGATGTCTCTGAGCTTCCTAGCTCCTCTCTCTCTGTTGCATGCTGCATTTTAGGACTTTCATCAAGTAGAAGTCCACCTCCTCCTCCCAGGAGGGGTCTCAAAGGGGTTTGGGGAGCTTTGATTCAGTTCTTACTCCAAAACTGTCTCTGTTGAGCTTTCTCTGCTCTGTTGTCGACTCTCTCTCCTTGCAGGGCATCTCTCTGCATTCCTTAGCCTGACTATGTGCCATGTTGCTAGTTGCCGGCTATCTTCTTGGCTTTCAACCATAGCTTTCCACTCAACGCTGCCTCTGCCACTGCTTTTCTGTCTTCTGTTGCCCACTCACAGTGGAGAAATTCCCCCAGTTTTTGACGACGGCGCCCTGAAGCTAGAAAAGGTCTAGAGAGCGAATGTAATATAGTAATACGAAAAGTAGAGAGTTAAATTCAGAATATAGGCTTAAGCAAAAGCGCGAAGAATTTAGTCTTAGAAACAGCAGAGGCAATAATTTACTAAGGTATGCAGAACACATTGACACAGGAGAACAGAAACATATGTACTCAGGAAAACAGAAGGAACTAAGAGGCTAAATGAAGTATATAGAAGGCTGATAAAGAAGGAAAATGAACCAAAACATAGGTACACCTTGTCAGATATCAGAAACCTCTGCCAGATGCACTAGGAAATCGGTCAGAATAGAGAAGTTCACAGAAGTTTATGAAGAGGATGAAAGAAAGGACAAGGGTTCATGAGGCCGAAGAACAGGAACGACCCTTCAAATTCTCCCCAAATTGAAGACCACGCCCCTAACTCCACCTGTTATGAATATTAAAAATTTATGTTACAATATTATGAATATTCATATTGTATGATGCAATTGCTTGGCAGAAATTGTATAAAAGACCAGTTGTGTGTTGCTGGAATGAAGCATTTGTCCAGAGAGATCTGGTTGCTTCCCGGTACTGTAATTAATAAAAGATACTTCCTGTTTATAGACTGAAAACTTTGTCTTTGAGCAGTTTCTCCGTTCGTGTCTTTTGGGGCATAAAATTTGGCATCAATTTGGGGACCCAGATGGGACAGAGAGTCTCCCCAACCTGAGACCCCACGGACTCGTGACACATCTGGGCCCCTCCGACTGGATTTCTGTTGGCGATAGTCTCCCGACCCCTTGGATCTACGAGTTGGTGGACACGAACCTCCCGCTTCAAATTAAGAGGTATTTGTACTTTTGTATTTCAACTTAAAGGGAAAAACCCTTTGCTTGGCAGGGGTAGGACGCTACCACCCAAAGGGGAGTCAGGGGATGCCTCAGCATTAGCCCTAAAAACTGGGTTCAAGTCCCAGGTATTAAAAGCAGCAGGTTAAAGTCCTGCAAAGGTAGCAGGTTAGAGTCCTGCCAGGAAGATCCCAAAAGGGGTCCCCAAGAAGGGTTAGAGGCCCATACTGCAGTGAAAAATTGTTTTTATCCTGTGTTGCTGTTTTTACCTTTTATGCTTTTGTGTATTGTCTTAAAAGTACTTTTACTCTGGCTTCTCTTGTTTGCTTTCTGTTTTGCGTGAAAGATTGTCCAGTAATGTATTTAAAGTTGTGTTTGACCTAAAGATTTGGGAGACTAATGACCTGTAACTTTTTCTTTTGAACTGTTTCAAGATCTGGAGTGTTTCCTTTGATTTTCTTGAGACAAGAGGCTTTATGACCCAGGAGAACTTTTAGTCCTATTAAAGAATTCCTGGAATGAGGTAGTTAGACATAATGTACTGAGTTTCTTTTAACAAGCTGCTCTGGTCTGTGTTAAAATTGTAGTTTGTCTGATTGTTTACGGGAGATAACCTCAGTACTATACCATGCCATTTGAAATTTAAAAGTACAGTGAAGAACTCTATTATTTGTGATATTTTGATTGCTGTTTGTAGTGTTTTGTTTGCCTTCTGTGTGTCATAGGCTGTTTTGTAGAGTGTTTTGTGTGCCAAAGAGTATTTTGTAAAAAGCATATTTCATAAAATGTTTTAAAACATTACATGGAAAGTGGTTGCAATTCCATAAGGGTAAATAAGATTTTATCAGTGCGCCAAAATTCTAGGATTAAGATTTGTCCTTTCTGTCATTGTTCCCTATATGTTAGAGCTTTGTGTAACAACTGTGGAAAGTACATTCTAGGTCCAAGAGGGACGCAAGAAACAGTTCTAGATCGGTCCCTTAATTTCTATTGTATACGCTGTTGGTCAAATCAGGATTTAGCAGAAACTAAATGGGTGAGATTTTATTGTCGGCACACTGATAGACAAGTATATATAACATCTTGGCTGCATTTTCTGTAAAGAGTATATTTTACATTTCAGAGTGACATCTTGTGGTTTTGTGGTAACATAGACCGATGGTCAGCAGTAAACCTGTATTTCACAGTCTGCGGTGACATCTAGCGACTTTGCTCGGTAACGCAGATTACCCAAATAGCAATCTTAAGGTAGGAAAGTTACTGTAAAAAGTGTGCAAGTGTGTATGGGTGTGATTGAGACACAACACCATTGCAAGGTGAGAGTGGAGTCCCAATCTGCGGTTCCGTAACTCCAACCAGAGAGGACCGAAGCGTATGGACGTTGTATGTATAAAGCTTTGGAATAGAATAAGGGACACTAAGACGGTGGAATAGAATAAGGAAGGTGTTGAAACTGAAAGTAAAGTTTAGGGATATACCAAAAGTTGCTCAGTTAGAACATATCGGTGGAAGTCTAGTTCGATTAGACTTGGAAGCACAGGTCCAGAGACAAGAATTGCTTGATATAATAGCATACCATATAAGTGGGTTTATAGAACAATTAGAACAGAAAAGAAAAAAGTTAGGATATGACCCTATAGTAATAGAAGACCTTTACAATTGGGCACCAGTCTGGGAACATGATCCCTGGGTTAGTTGGCACATTACTGATGCTAGAATAGCAAGACGATCCGGTAAAATGCCTTATAGGTTTACCTGGTAGACACCCTGCATTCCAAGATCTTTACCAGTCGCTCTCAGCATCTGATCTCTACCAGACACTGGCAACATAATAAGGCAGAGTAAATCATTAGACAGAACTAAGATCCACAAGGACCTAAACTCCCTTGATAATGAGAAGCCAGCAAAGTAAGGATATAAACATGAAAACTCCCTTTGGATGTATTCTGAAGCATTGGAAAGATTTAGGAGGAACCCCAGGGGGAAGTGTGAACAAAAGGACACTTCTGAAATATTGTACCCAATGGTGGCCCTTGTATAAACTAGATGATGATGAGAAATGGCACGTTAAATTACAACACTATTTTACAACTCATGTTGTTCCTCCATTGGCTAGGCAAGTGGGACGAAGTAATGTACTGCAACATGTTCTTTACCCTAAGGAGTAAGCCAGAATGGCAGAGAGAATGTGGGGTAAATATCACACCTCAGGATCCTTTAGTCCTGGCTTTAGAGAAAGATAAGAAAAATCTAAGACTGAAGGAGTGTTGTTGTGATGCCTGTAGTATTGGACAACAGTGCCTCAAGTTAAAAAGAAGGGACAGTGGAAAGGAAAGCGAAGTGAGTTTGTGGGAGTACCAACCTTATGTGCCAGGGTACGGGGGGCCACCATCAAATACAGGAGAGAGTGAGAGACACACTAACTTGTTAGGAGATACCTCGCTAGAATCAGGAAAGGACAGAACAGGGTACAGTCCTCAGGGGTTAAGTGGTGAAGGAGAGAGTAGCCCGCAGGGGTCAAGTAGCATGCAAAGATCAGAAAGTCACCAGGAGGAGAGTAACCTACCGAGATTAGAAAGTGATAGCAAAGAAGATAGCCCATCCATGAAGGGGACAAGAACCAGTTCTCAGCAAAAGGAAACTTGATAAATCTGAATCACAAACCTTGGAAAACAAGGGTTGACAAAAACCTTGTGATCTGAAGGAACTGGACTCTTCTCACAAGACCTGGTTAAGTTCTACCTTATGGATCAAGCCTGGCTCCAGTAGAAATCAGAAAAGACTTTTGAGATGATTGTATCAAACCATGTCTAAACCCCTGTAATCCCTCTATCCCCCATGTAATCCTACTAGAAGAAAAATTAACTATTTAGAAGTTGCAGTAAAAACTTGTGTAATTCCATAATTAACATAGCTCGTCCCCTTCATTAACATGTCCAACCTCAGATACCTTTAAAATCGTGTTCTTGTGTTCAATAAACTATTCCAGTTCCCCCATTCTGGAATCGTGTCTAGCTTTTATTTTTCAGACCGTCACTAATGTCGCCACAACCGTGGGGCTGAGAACTTTCTAACATTTAGAAGATTCATCGGTCATAGGCTGGTTGGACCAAGGGAAGCAGCACTCCTTGTGTTTCGGTGGTGTGTGCGTAGTCAGAACTGAGAGAAAGCAGAAGACGTGCACGGAAACTTGTCCTCAGCAGGCGGGAACTGCTGAGTGAACTGACTACTGTCATGGTTTGAGATAGCCCCAAAATCCAATTCCCTAGCTCCATCCCCCCTCCCACATCTCAACCCAATGTGAGATGGGTTTTTCCAGACAAAACACAACCAGACTCAGAATGGGGGAAAGGGAATATATTACAATGACTGTACAAATAAATACTATAACACATTATACACACCGTCACAACTATCTCTACCATGACATATAGTATTTACAATGGATCAGATCTCTTCTCCCCTCCAAATAAAAGTCCAGGAGGGAAAGAAGGACAGATCCCTTCCAGTCCCAAAGCAGGAATCTCTTCTAAGGCAGCAGGTCTCCTCATCTCATGCATGCAGCAGTAACTGGATTGTTGTAGCTGGATCTCTGTTCAATACACACAAGGGGGTCTCCAAGCCCCTCGGCTCTCCTTCGGTCCAAGTGAAGGCCTCACTTGTGGACTGCCAGCAGGGACCAGACTCGCGTCACCACAGGTATATCACGAAATGCAGGGGCATCTTCGTGAAAGTCCCTTCCTCAGGGGATTCAAATTCCCCTTTGCAGAACTCCGTACTCTGTCTCAAGGCTGTTAACTTAGCAGCAGCAGCGAGGGGGGCCAAGGTCAACCCCCCCACATTCCTTCTCCGTCCCGGTCCAACTTCAGGACGCCTTTGAGCTTCTCAGCTCCTCTCTGCAGTGCATGCTGCACTTCAAGGTTCTTTCAAGTGAGAGTCCATCATCTTCCTCCTTTCCAGGAGGTCTCAAAGGAGTTTGGGGGGGTCTAATATCAGTTCTTACCCCCAGAACTCCGTAACTCTGCTGCTAGCTTCTGCTGCTTCCTCCGGTTCAGTTCTTATCTGTCCTGGCTCTTAGTCATAACCTCTGGACGCTGCCGCTGCTTCTACTCTGTCTCTGCTCACTCAAGATGGAAAACATCTCCCAGCTCACAACTACAGACACATAGTCCAGCTTAACACTGTTCCAAGTCTCTGTAGCCCCCAACTGGGGTTGGGGGGCCCCAGAGGCCCCGAGGGGCTCAGAGCCCCTCTCCTCGTGGCTCCTACAACATGGCCACTTCTTCCACCTACCAAACTACAACTCTTCTCTTCCGGTGCTTGTGATATGTTTACATTTCTGCAGGAGCGTTCATTGGACAGAACTTCAAAACTTCCATGGGTTTCCACCCCTGGGGGTTACCACTTTTCTTAGCCTCTGGGGGAAAACAAGGTTCAAACCACTACAACTACGAACTCCAGATTGGGTAATTATTTTAAAGACTTTGTAACATTATAAGTAGGGTACAATGGGGTCAAATATATCAACTGAGCAAAATCATGCTTATTTAATCCTGCAAAGTGTGTTAAAGCAGCATGGAAAAACACTGGACGAATCATCCTTACAAAGCCTGTTGCTCTGGGTTCAACATAACTTTACAGAACTGAATGTAACTAACTTTCTAGACAATGTTTTATGGGACAGAGTGGGGGTGCGACTGTGGGAGGAGGTAACGCAGGGAAATGAAAAAACTACAAAAGTTTTAAAACCATGGAGAATTTTATACGAGACCCTGAGAGACCAAGCAACTGCAGATCAAACCCTCCCCGAAATCCCTACCACCAATCCAGGCACCCCAAATGCATGCATACCCCTGCAGGACGAGCTTCCCATGCCTCTGCCCCTGTCAGTAACTGAAACTGTTTCTGAATTGCCCAGAGAAAGACAATTTCGCAATACCGCTACAAAGCATGTGCAAGGGGCTTTTCAAAGGTGCAATGGGGAAATCTTTCTGAGCACAAAGGTTCCAGGGACGACTAATTCCTTATCGGAGGAAAACTGCTGGGATCCAGAGGTATTCGACACCGATATGACAACCCTCCCCGACCCCAGGTTACGGTGGGAGGGCTTACGGCGGGAGGCTGCTGTGGCTGGGGACATTGACATGCTAAAAACCTTTCCTGTTTACAAACGACCAAACAGACTCCCGCACTGGGAACCTGTCCCGTATCCAGTCTTAAAAGACTTGAAAAAATCAGTCACAGAGTATGGGTTAGAGGCCCCATTTACAATGGGTATATTGGAAAATCTCTTTAGTGCCTTTACTCTAACCCCCCACGACTGCTCCTCCATCGCTAGGATGACTTTAACCACAATGCAGTTCACTCTATTTGAAACAGAGTGGAAAAACCTAAGCAAAAAAACTGCAGAAGAAACTTTAGCTACAAACAGGACCCCTATAGCAAACACGCTGAACAAACTGCTTGGGGAAGGACCATATGCTGCCCCTGCAGCCCAGGCACGGATCCCACTCCGTGATTTAAACCTGGCAAAGGACCTGACACTGCAAGTTTTCCGTAAAATCTCTAAGGCTGTGATACAATCCCCCTCTTTTACTATGGTTCACCAGGGACCACAGGAGCCGTTTTTTCAGTTTGCAGACAGGTTCAGAGATGAGATTAACAAACAGATCGATAACACAGTTGCACAAGATGCCCTGTTTCAGAAACTTACTGTGGAACAGGCGAACCCAGACTGCCAAAAGATACTAAGGGCTATGCGGAACCCCACACTAGCAGAAATGTTGCAAGCTTGTAACAATGTCGGAACTCAGGTTCACGCATCTGTTTCCCTAGCTGAAGCTTTGGTCACAGCGCGAGAGTCCCTTGCCCTGCAAGAACGCTGCTTTGGTTGTGGGCAAACAGGTCACATAAGGAGGTATTGCCGGGCAAAAAGGTAGTCAAACCAACCCCCTGTCTGTCGCCGCTGCAGAAAGGGTTCACATTTTGCAAAAGATTGTCGCTCTAGGTTCACCAAGGAAGGCCACCCACTGCCGCCGAGAGGAAATGGGAGAGGACCGCTCAGGGGAACAGCGCAATGACAGAAAAGGTTCCTACAACCAACTTCAGCACCTGGTACCCGTCTCCTCTCTCAACCCCCATACCTCAGGCAGTGCCGGAGTCGATCTAGCAGCAGCATCGACCGTAATTCTACTTCACTCAAAGGTACAGATTGTTTCTACAGGGGTACAGGGACCACCAGGAAACGGATGCAATGCTCTCTTAATCGGTTGTTTCTCGGCCTCCGCATGCGGGGTTTTCGTTTTACCAGGAGTCATAGATTCAGATTTTAAAGGAGAAATTAAAGTAATGCTTTGGACCCCCTCGCCGCCTGCCTGTATCGGTAAAGGAACGTGAATTGCACAATTGATCCTAATACACGCACACCCCCCGGGTTGGAGTAACAGACAAAGGGGAGATCAAGGTTTTGACTCCACAGGAGACCAACTGGTCCCTGGAAACTTTATTAACTGGTCACAGACTCTATCCACAGATCGTCCAATCCTCCGATGCTCAGTTTTCCACTCTGTTCGCAAAGAGACAGTTTTACTCAGGGGCCTTGCAGACACTGGTGCTGACGCTACAGTGATCTCTGAACAGCAGTGGCCAGCCACATGGTCCTTTGTTTCGCCGAACACAAGTATCAAAGGGGTGGTTGGAGTTGTCTTGCCGAAACAGAGCCTACATCCTGTGGTTATTACAGGACCTGAAGGTCGTTCAGCAATGGTAAGACCCTTCATTTTAAACCTTCCAGTTGCACTGTGGGGCAGAGACGCCCTTGGACAGTGGGGAATCGGGCTCAGTTCAAATTTATCCTAATGGTCGCTGAAAGGCAGCTAGTTCCAGCCCTCAAATGGAAAACACACACCCCGATCTGGGTTCCACAGTGGTCTCTACCCAGAGATAAACTACTGCAACTTCAAATTCTGGTAAAAGAGCAACTTCAAAGCGGACACATTTCTCCAACAACAAGTCCGTGGAATTCCCCAATTTTTGTGATTCAAAAGCGAAGTAGGAGGTGGCGTTTACTTCATGATTTAAGACGCATCAATGAGGTTATCGAACCAATGGGAACGTTACAACCTGGCCTCCCATCCCCAGCAATGTTGCCACAGAACTGGTCTTTAACCATAATTGACTTAAAAGACTGTTTTTTCACAATTCCCCTGCATCCCAGAGATGCAGAGAGGTTTGCCTTTTCTGTGCCATCTCTAAATGCCAGCGAACCATATGCACGATATCACTGGAATGTTTTGCCTTAGGGTATGAAAAATTCACCTTCTTTATGTCAGCTTTATGTAGCAAATGCCCTGTCTCCAGTTCACCTGCAGTATCCAGAGGTACTTATTTACCATTACATCGATGACATCTTAGTGTGTGCAGCTAATACAGACTTAATGCAACAAGCTCTGAAAGCCACAATTAAAGCAGTCAAGGATCATGGACTAGAAGTGACTCCAGAGAAAATTCAACAGGAATCTCCTTGGCATTACCTGGGTTGAATAATCACAGAAACATCTATACAGCCTCAACGTGTATCCATCTCCACATCAGTAAAAACCCTCAATGATTTACAGCAGCTTTTGGGTATGCTTAATTGGTTTAGATCTCTCCTAGGAATCTCCACAGATGAACTGCACCCACTGTTTGACTAAATGAAGGGAGATCCAGACCTGACATCACCTCGACAGCTGACTCCAGAAGTCAGCGCAGCTCTGCACATTGTGGAACAAAAGTTGAATTCACAACAGGGACATCGACGCCTTCAAAAGGAACCTGTGACACTTGTCATCATAAAAGGACCCCGACAGCCCTACGGACTGATAGGTCAGCTGTACCAGAACAACACTGCATTTTGTTTATGGGAATGGTTTTTTTACCTCACCAATTTTCAAAGACAGTTACCACACTGCCAGAAATGATTTCTAAGTTATGTTATAAGGGTCGAGTTAGATGCTGGGAACTCACGGGCACTGATCCCGAAACGGTTTATTTACCTTTAACTACAGAGCATTTAGAACAATTGTAGACACTCAGTTTGGATTTTCAAATAGCTTTAATTGATTATCGAGTCCGGGGTCCCCCCTACGTGCCGAGGGAAGTGCAGAGGTCGGGGGGGTGGGTTGAGTGCAGCGGTTGGCTCCTGGGCTAGTCCGGGGTCCCCCCTACATGCCACGTGAGCTCATCCAGATCAAGAGGTAGCAGAAATAGAGATAGCAGTACACCAAGAAATGAAGATAGCGCATGGAGATTAGGCAGCTGAGGAGCAAGAAGCAACCCACCAGGAGTTGGGAGCTATGGGGACGAAGGTAGACCACTGAGATCAGGGGGCAATGGAAAGGAGGGTAGTTCCCCCAGGTTAAGGTGCAGCGAAGGAGAAAGCGACACAGTAACTCAAGTGGAAAGAGAAAATACCCTGCAAAGATTAAACATAGTAATTCAGATAAATGACAAAAGAGACACACCAAGAGTGGAGGGAGACGAGGAGCAGAAACAAGAAAAGAAAAAGGAAAAGAGAAAGAATAGAGCAGACACCGAAGCCCAGGGGGAAGACCCCAGAGAAGAGGTTGACCATTCACACTATACTAGGTCTGTAGCACAAAAAACTAGAGCCCAGGAGGAAGAAGAAGCAAAAGATAAAGCTGAAGAAAGTTATACCATAAGCCCCCTTCGGCAAATAATGCCCGTTCCAGGAGAACAGGGATGGATAAAGGTACCATTCACAACAAGTGATCTGAAAAACTGGGGGGAGGAAGTGAAAAATTTTAGGAAAAATTCAGAAGGGGTTGCTAAGAGATTTGAACTATTGGTAAAGAATTTGGATATTGACTGGGAAGACATTGACTTGATGTTATCAGAATTAACTTAAACAGAGAGAGAGCTAGTGCTAGTAGTGAGAACAGGGAGAATGCATGCTTCCGCAATGATCGGGAACCTTGAGACTATATTTCCGTGCACAAATCCCAATTGGGATCCGAACAATCCAACTCACTATAAATGGTTAGTGCGATACAGAAAGTTAATAGCATTAGACCTATGGAATGCAATACCTAAAACCATTAACTGGGCAGCCCTGTATGATGTCAGGCAGGGAAAAGATGAAACCCCCTCAGAGTTTTTAGATAGACTTAGAACAACCATGAGACAGTATATCCCTTTAGACCTGGTGTCAGAGCAAGGCAGACAACAGCTGCTAGGATTAGTAATGGGACAGTGCACCCCAGACATTAGAAAGAAGCTACAGAAACTCGAGCACCCAGCAAACAAAGATTTAGGGACATTAATGAATGAGACCTGGAAAGTATACAATAATAGAGAAAAGGAAGAAAGGAAAAAGTAAGATAAAAGACTCCCTAGAGTGGTAGCAGCAGCAGTGGCAGCTCAGAACACAAAATTCCCAGAGGCAAATACCAGGAGTAGGAGTCGCAGCTACCCTGTAAGAGGGAGAGGAGGATTCCAGTCCCAGCCAGCCAGAATAGGGTCAAATCAATGTTCCAATTGCTTACAGATAGGCCACTGGAAGCAGGACTGCCCACAGCTAAAAGAAAGGTTTGGAAATGCTGCTATTGCACATCAGAACAGCGAATGAGGGGGACCGGTGAGTCGTTCCCTAGCAGACCCACTGGTTAAAATGGAGCTAGGGGAAGGTGAAAAGGAATTAGACTTTTTCATTGACACGGGAGCTACATTTTCAGTTTTAAATCAGGAACTAGTGCCAAAGAGTGATGAGTTTGTACAAGTTGTGGGGGTAACAGGCCAACCAGAAAAAGCTTATTTTCTAAAACCTATCAAATACAAAATTGGAAAACAAATGGGAATCCATCAATTTTTGTACTTACCAAATTCACCAAAACCTCTATTAGATAGAGACTTATTAGAAAATTTGGAAGCAATAATAAAATTTAACCAAGGCAAATTTGAATTCCAGGTAAACGAAGAAGGACTGATCGCAGTTTTAAGCTTGACGATCAGTTGCATAGAAACAAAACCTGATAGTCACAGTATCGAGCGAATTATGAGTGAAGCATACCCGTTAGTATGGACCACTGACATACCTGGGAAATCAAAACAGGCAACACCTATCACTATTGAACTAATACCTGGAGCAAACCCACTGAGGTTAGAAGACAGAAAAGGAATCGAACCGATAACTGGAAAATTTTTAGAATTGGGGTTATTAATAGAGTGCGAATCAGACTATAACACACCAATCTTGCCAGTTAAGAAACCAAATTGGACTTATAGGCTAGTTCAGGATTTAAGAGTCATAAATGCAATAACAAAGACACTACATCCAGTGGTAGTCAACCCTTGTACACTTCTAACTAAATTAAAAGACAATTTATTTTGGTTCACAGTGTTAGATGTAAAAGATGCATTCTTCTGCCTTCCCTTAGCCCCGGAAAGCCAAAAGGTTTTTACCTTCAAATGGGAATCTGTTAGCAAAGGGAGAAAGACTCAATTAGCCTGGACAGTGTCACCTCAGGGCTATAAAAATAGTCCAACAATTTTCGGGAACCAATTAGTCAAAGAATTAGAACAATGGGAAAGGTCACAGGGAGATGGCACTCTTCTACAGTATGTAGATGATCTACTAATAGCAACTGTTAAATGGACTATTTCTCTGTTGAATTTCCTGGGTTTAAGTAGATATCGAGTCTCTCAACAGAAAGCGCAGTTGGTGCAAGAAAGAGTGGTGTACCTGGGATATGAAATTTTCAGAGGACAACGATCCCTAGGAACAGCAAGAAAAGAAGCCATCTACCAAATGCCTAGATCAGAAACTGTGAGAGATCTACAAGTCTTTCTGGGAATGACAGGTTGGTGCCGTTTATGGATCTATCAATACTCGCCAAACCACTGTATGATTTACTAAAAGAAACTAAGAGTGTCCTAGTCTGGACTCCCGAAGCAGAGGGAGCTTTTAAGAGACTGAAACAAGAACTCATGAAAACGCTGACTTTGGACCTGCCTGATGTAACAAAACCATTTTGGTTGTTCTCTCATGAACGGCAAGGGATGGCTTTAGGAGTCTTAGCACAACAGTTGGAACCACACAAAAGAGTCGTAGCTTATTTCTCCAAACAGTTGGATGAAGTAAGCAAAGGATGGTCCAGTTGTCTGAAAGCAGTAATCATAAACATAGAAGAGGTCAGAAAACTCACATTGGGTCAGAAAATGACTGTGTTAGTGTCCCACACTATATCTGCAGTACTCGAGCAGAAGGGTGGTCATTGGTTGTCACCTTCCAGATTCCTAAAGTACCAAGCAATCCTGAGTCAGACGATATAACCATTCAAGTCACTAACATTGTGAATCCAACCTCATTTCTAGAAGGAAGAATGCCAGCAGAACCAATTGAGTACAACTGCCTGGAGACCATTGAAGCAGTCTACTCCAGTTGCCCGGATCTCAAAGAAGAACCGCTTGAAGATGCAGACAGCTGGTCCTCCGACAGCAGCAGTTTTGTGAAACAAGGAGTAAGGATGGCAGACTATGCAGTGACCACAATGGATGAGGTAATTGAATCAAATCCTTTATCTGCCGGGACTTCAACCCAGAAGGCAGAACTGATAGCTCTTACCCGAGCTCTGGAATTGGCAGAAGGCATACGGATTAATATTTGGACAGACTCTAAGTATGCCTTCTCCGTCGTACACGCTCATGGAGCAATTTGGAAAGAAAGGACTGCTAACTGCCCAGGGGAAAACTGCAGAGGAAATTCTACAATTGTTAGAAGCAGTTCAACTCCCAGCACAAGTGGCCATAATGCATTGCAAGGGACACCTGAAAGGTAACACTGTTCCAGAAATAGGGAATAGAAAAGCTGATGCAGAAGCTAAACCAGCTACTGCAAGAACTGAGGAAGTGAACATAACAACCTTAGTACCAGGGGAACTCGATACTAACTTCCAATCAGATTATCAGGAATCAGATCATAGATGGATTCAAAGGAACAAAGGCAAATTGTTAGACAATGGATGGGGTCAATTAGAAATGGGACAACTAATAATACCAGGGAAATTAATGTGGCAATTTGTAAAAACAGAACATGAAAAGACCCATTGGAGTTTAGATCCACTTTATCAGTATTTGCAAACTAGAATAGCAGGACCAAAATTGTTCACCACCATAAAGCAGGTCACATCCCAATGCAAACAATGCCTGAAGAACAACCCCAAAACAGGAACCAAAATACATCAAGGAGCAATAAACCGAGGCAAATTCCCAGGTGAAGTATGGCAAATTTATTTCTCTGAACTCCCAAGAAAAGGGGGGTATCGATATTTTCTGGGTGGCCTGAAGCATTCCCCTGCAGGACAAACAAAGAGAGAGAAGTAAATAAAGTTTTGTTAAATGAAATCATACCACGGTTTGGGGTACCAAGAAGTATCTCTTCAGACAGAGGTTCACATTTTTGTGCAAAGGTTGTGAGAGCAATAAGTAAACATTGCAAATTAAATGGCAATTGCATACGCCCTGCAGGTCACAGGTCAGTGGGCAAGTAGAAAAGATGAATCATCTTATCAAACAACAAATTGTTAAAATATGTCAGGAGACTAATTTACAATGGTACCAAGCTTTGCCTATTGCTCTGATCAGGTTGAGGGTTAAACCTCGATCAAAAGAAAAACTAAGTCCATTTGAAATTCTGTATGGACGACCTTATGCTATGCAAATTGTAAATAACGATGCTATAGACCAAATAGGTAATCAACATATATATGATTATGTAATTGCTGTAGGAAAACATTTTGATAAAAATGTCACAGTAGTAATAGAACACCAACCCAAACAACCTTCACTGCGGTTCGGATAAAGGAGTGAGCCACATGGATCCACTATTCTCAAGTGTTATAGACTAGGAAACCAGGGGAATTTTTTCTTTCCCCTGCCCCACTCCAAGGGAAAAAACGGAATGAGTGGGGGGAAGAGAGGTCATTAGCCTTACAAAGGAACTGGTTGATCTGTTATAATGGACGATTAACTGCGGTGAGTGGCGGGGGGGGGGGGGGGGGGGGGGACCGGGGGGGGGGGGGGGGGGGGTCGGACCAGGGGACTG